GCATCAGCATGACCGGGCTCTTGGCCAAGCTTGTATACAAGTTCGTACTTGTAAGCAGAAAGCTTCAGAGCCCACCTGACCATTCGAGGTGAAGCTTGCATGGGAACGGGCTTGTTGGCACCCAGCAGTCCAAGAAGTGGCTTGTGGTCAGTGTGCGCTTCGAATGAGATGCCCCACAAGTACTGGTGGAACCGATCTACACCAAACACTAAAGCCAGTGCCTCCTTGTCGAGTTGACTGTAGTTTTGTTCTGCTTTTGACAAGCTCCTCGAGGCAAAAGCAATGGGATGTTCCCCGCCATCAGCATCTTTGTGCACCAGAACTGCACCTATACCATAAGGCGATGCGTCACAGCTGAGGCAAATAGGCCTGGCAGGCTTGAAATGTACAACTGGAGCTGATGTCACCAAGTGCTTGCAGGCATTGAATGCATCTTGTTGTTCATGTCTCCACTCCCACTTCTTCCCTTCACAAAGAAGTAAGTGCAGTTGATGAAGGAGTGACAAAGGAGGACAATAATGGCTTCCAAGTACTTGAAGTATCTTGTCCAGATTCTTGTCACTGGGCTTGGTGGGCTTGACCAAATTGCGGAACAAAGCATACGTTTTCTACCCCCAGCAGCTCATGAACACGGCAGCACGCTTGTCTGGGACGACATCATTCGCCAGGAAAAATACTTTGAGCCGGTCCACGTAACAGGGCCAGTCGTCTCCTCCCCCCTCGAATGGCTCGAGGTTGCCGAAACTTGGCATGGTGAACAGATGGCAGAGAGCTGCGGGAACGAAGACTTAGATGAAACTTCCTTTCATCTTCGTCGTCAGTTGTTACATGTGTAGATTAACTGATGGCGAGGCGGTAGTGACTACCGTGAACTTCGACTACCGTGTTCTTCGCGGGCCACCGTGTTCACGCGGGCCACCGCGTGACTACCGTGTTCTTCGCGGGCCATCAGGCCCGCGAAGAACACGAGAACATGTTGAGCCCTTAGCCCAGAACGAACTGTCGTTTATTGTTTCCAAAACGGCCACTCCGCCTCTGTGCCAGGCTTGCACAGCTCAACGTAACTATCAGCGCTGCGTCGGGGCACTGCATTTGAACCAACATTGTAACACCTACCTTATTGCTATGAGACTCCAACTACACCTCAACCATGTTTGTGTTCTGTCGAATACGTTCGCCTGGTGCCCCAAGCTGTTACCTATGTAACCATGAGGTCTTTTCCTCCGGTACCCGACGGTGGTTATGTGCTGGCACCGATTTTGGACGTGTTATTAGACAGAAATGTTGCCCTTCCTCATACTCTGTTGACGATTACGAATAATGTGGCGTCGCTACCGATACTAAACTTCAGCTGGTGCGCTCAAGTTGTTCCAGATGGCATGACTCTAGCCAACGTCTCTTTCATCAGTAAATATTCTGTTTCTGCATTCATTGCAGACGCTCCTTTGCCTGCTACTGCAACCTTTTCACAGAGCTCCACTTATGTCGACTTTGACAAGATGATCGCGCCAGACTTCGTTCCAGCACGGGCAGTCGATTTCCGGCATATCTTGGTATCCTTCAGGAACAGCTTCGATGTTGGCGACAGCCCTTTAGGAAAGACGTTAGTTTTTAGTCCTGGGTAACAACTGACGTCTTTCCTAAAGGGCTGTTGCCAAAGTCGTTGTTGCCCAGGAGTGTTACTCCTGGGTAACAACAACGCCTGGGTCGTTAGGCTTTAATGCTACAGGAATATAGCTTTGACGTGAGTTACAGGTCTGGCCAAGTGCACCACGATGCCAACCGTCTATCTCGCCATCCCGTCGATCCCCCTGACCTGTCAGCGCACGATTCTGATGCTTGTGTCTTTGCCATTTCTGATTTCACGGACCTACGTAGGGAACAACTCAGTGATGCCAATTTGCGGTCTATCATACGCTGTCTAGCTTCCGACACCTCGGATCCTTCCCTTCGCCTCTTCACGCTTCATGACGGAATTCTCTACAGGCGCAACACAAGCACCGAAGGCCCAGAAATATTTCTGGTAGTTCCTGCAACGCTCCGTTCCATTGTGCTCGAACAACTTATGGTGACCCCCGCTGCTACTAGCTGCCGCGGACAATCACCGCGGGTTCACGCTTAGCGAGCCACAGGGCCGCTACTTCGTTTACTCGCGTGTAGCGCACCGCTCCGCGCGCGCTCAACTAATAAGGCGTTTAGCGCGGCGCGGCAAATAGACAGTGTTCTAATGCAAAAGTACACAACACTTTATTGCCTCTGGCGGCACCCCGAACAACAGTACAACGTCCGCTCCCGGGACGCGGGTAGCAAAGGCACCCGCACGCGGACGTTCACAATAAGGGGAAAACCGCGAGCACGTCGCAGCTGGCAATGCCGAGCTTTGACACGCCGGTTGGGAAAAGGTTCCTCGCGGCTATGCTGCGCACTCTCACGATGGCCAATGGGCCTGGTCGCGAGTGTTAGGGCAAACTTCGTACGCGTAGGCCTAACTCAAGTGCGGCTCGTGGTACGACCACTTCAAGCACTAGGCACCGCTCTGGGCTTAGCGTACGCTACCAAAGCCAGCACTCAAGTAAACAGGCCTGCCGGAGTGCCCAAGGCCCCCTGGGCAGGCTACAGTCCACGATTCCCAAAGGGGACGCGGACGAAGGAAAACACGTGCTTACCCGGCGCCGACCCACGGAAAAAAGAGCGCTCCATCGGCGCGCGCGTACCGCGTGCCGTGCCCGCACGTGGTGCCATCTATCGCCACGTGGTGTTAACAGAGCGGGAAAGCAAAAGGGTGTGGCCGTGTGGCGGAATGCCCGCGAAATGGTCGCGGGCGCGCCTCAGATCCCCACAAACTTCATGATGCCCCAACTGCTGGGCATCTCGGAACAGCCCGCACGTATCACCATGTACGACGTCGAGTCTTCTGGCCAGGCCTTTACCGCTTTGTGCGCCGATATGTTGCATCTTGTCAGTCTTGTCAGCGCCGCATGCATCCTTCATTGGCACCACCAGGCCCACTTCAGCCTATCGACATTCCAACAGACCCGTTCTACCGCGTCGGGCTCGATCTCATTGGACCATTTCCAACGTCTCTGAGTGGGAATAAGTGGGTAGTGGTGGCTACAGACTACGCAACACGCTTTGCCATCACGCGAGCGCTATTAACAAGCTGTGCTACTGATGTCGCGGACTTTCTTCTTCATGACGTTATTCTCCACCATGGAGCACCGCGTCAACTGCTGACCGACCGTGGTCGTTCATTTCTCTCCAAGGTCATGGACGACATTCTTCGCTCGTGTTCCACACATCATAAACTCACCACTGCCTACCACCCGCAAACAAATGGACTCACTGAGCGCCTTAACCGCACACTGACGACAATGCTATCGATGTATGTTTCTGCAGATCATCGTGATTGGAATGCACTTTGCCTTACGTGACGTTTGCCTACAACTCGTGACGACATGACACCGCTGGCTTTTCTCCCTTCTATCTCTTGTACGATCGTCACCCCCCTTTGCCTTTTGACACTCTTCTGCCGTCGCATACTAACACTCCTACCGAGTACGCTCGCGATGCGACTATTCGGGCTCAAGCGGCCCGCCGGATTGTAACAGGATCCTCTTTCTGCCTCGCAGCTCTCTTAAAAGGATCGCTACGACAGCCGTCACAGTGCTGTCTCTTACTCCCCAGGATCGTTGGTCTTGCTCTGGACTCCCTCCCGTCACGTTGGCCTGTCCTCGAAGTTCCTCGCTTGCTACAACAGGCCTTACAAAATCTTGCGCCAACTGACCGAGGTCACCTATGAGATCGCCCCCTTGGGCACTCCATCCTCATCGTCTCTGCCGTCCACTGATATTGTACACGTCCCCAGCCTTAAGCCGTACTTCCCTGCACAGGATCGCACGATTTTATACCCACGACTACTCATATTTACAAGCACTCATTCACGTTCATACTCAAGCCTACACACAGTCATGGAGTTGTAGGCACTCGCTCACGATCGCACTCACGCCAACTCACACACATAAGAACTCACTCACGTTCATACTCACACGTTTGCACACTCATACGCACTCACTGACTTTCATACTCACACTCACATCACATAATTTGATATAAACAGGTTCGATATAGTCGGGCTCGACTGTACAAGAGTTACTGCCGTGCTCTTCTAGGAACATGCCCAATATTTGGATTTCGACGACTTGGGGGATGGCCTGCGCTGACCGTGTGTGAATTTCGATCCTTATCACTTCCGGTGGAATTACGACGGTAGTAAACTTGCAGTTCTCTGGCTGTGTGTAGAGAAGAAGCTCTGATTTGGCAGTGGACGAGTGCAGCCCTGTGCTATCCAAAAACTCTTCCGTGCACTTGAGGGCCTGCTGGTGAGAATCCTTAACATATCCATCTCTACCCCCGTGCACCATATAGTAATATCGTCGCATGTCTGATGCAGTCGATACGAGTTAGTTCGAGTGAGAGTTTTCTCATCACTTTAAGAATGCTGCAAACCGGTACTTACCCGTCGGGCTTGGTTTACAGTAAGTTTATTGAGAGCATAATGCCTCAATGCCATGAGAAACAATGCACGTTATCCCACATGCTCTGGCAATGCACAACACTGCGCAATGGCAAGCCGCTCTGCACAGAGGATGCCTGGTGAACAGCAATCACCAGCTTAGACCGGGACGTCCTAATTTGGGCTGTCCGGAGGGCCTGCAGTTTGGTGGAGTGGTGTGTCTTCTCTGTTCTATAATGAGTGTGGTCCCCCAGCCGACCCACCCTCTTGAGGCGTATTGGCTCTTCAGGGCGATTTGTGAATAAAGTTTGTTGATTGACTGAGTATTGTTTAGGTACACTGTGCCTTTAATGCAAGACACAGCAATACACCTGAGGTAGGTTATTGCAAGTAAAAATAGCTTCCAAGAATCACATCTGTGTCTACATTGATTGACAAGAACGGCGTTTGTACACCGAACAACCGATGGAAATAGCCAGCCACTTACCTGGCGGGCACCAGGTCGCGGGTGGCACAGGTAATTGTCTAGCAGCTGTGACATTAGCCACTCCATCTCGCACAGGTTGGCTGTTGCTCCGACAGGTGGCTGCACAGAATGACAACTGCTATTATAAACCGTATACTGTCTTCCAGCAATTACAAAAGCAGCACATTGTTCCTGGAATCACTTATTACTCATCACCATCATCAGCCTTGCTATGCCCAGTGCAGGGCAAAGGCCTCCCCCATGATCCGCCATACAACCCGGCCTTGTGCTTTCCGTTGCCATGTTACACCTGTAAACTTTTAAATCTCACCGACCCACCTAACTTTCTATGTACCGTTCGTGTGTTTGCCTTCTCTGGGAATCCAGTCAGTTATCCTTAATGACCAGCTGTTATCCTGCCTTTGCACTACATGCCCGGCCCATGTTCATTTTTTCTTCTTAATTTCAACTATGATACCGTTAACCTCTATTTGTTCTCTGACCAACTCTGCTCTCTTTTCGTTTCTTAAGCTTACACCTATTATTTTCCTCTCCATTGCTCGCTGTGTCGTCCTCAATTTAAGCTGAACCCTCTTTGTAAGCCTCCAAGTTTCTGCTCCATAGGTAAGTACTGGCAAGATACAGCTATTACACACCTTTTTCTGGAGGGTTAGTGGCGGATTACCATTTATGATTTGAGAATACTTGACGAATGTGGTCCATCTCATCCTTATTCTTTTAGTTATTTCACTCTCATGGTTTGGCTCCACGGTTACTACCTGTCCTAAGTAGACATATTCCTTTACAACTTCCAGCGTCTCGCCACTTATCGCGAAGCGCTGTTCTCTGGCGAGACTGTCACACACTATTTTAGTTTTATGCATATCAATTTTCAGACCTACTCTTCTGCTGTGCATGTCCAGTTCAGATATCATAAGCTGTAATTCGTCCACTGAGTTACTCATCAATGCAATGTCATCAGAATATGCAGGGTACTAAGATACACTCTAGGAACTAATATGCCTAACTCTATCTAAACAAATGCTCTGAAAACGTCCTGTAAACATGCAGTGAATAGCACTGATGAGAATGTGTCTCCATGCCTTACACCCTTCTTTATTGGGATTCTGTCGCTTTCTTTATGGAGGACTATTGTGGCTATGGATCCACTGTAGATTTCTTCCAGTATGTTTATGTAAGGTTGTTCGATGCCCTGATTTTGCAGTCCCTGAATTACTAATGTTGAAACTGAGTCAAACACCTTTTCGTAACTATTTTTTCTCGCAAGCATTTAACCGCAACAGTGGTATCTGCAGTAATCCCAAGGGGCGCCCAAAAGCGTGCGCTACAACACTACGACGCACTTTGTTAACTTGGCGGCAACCTCGTACGATGACCCCCACACTGTAGCAAGTAAACCAACATTGCAGCAAATACCCCCGAAGCATCAGAGCAAACCGTCGACAACAAGATTAACGACAAAATATGGCCGCCACCTCACTTCCACATGAGAAGTTCCTGTACACGCTGAGAACAAACGAAGCGAGAATCGGGTATGCTACTATGTTGCAGAAATCGTCACGACTTTTTCTGGACGACAAGCGATGTTTTCTGGTTTTCTAGAAACCTGTGACATGATAGCGACGAATGGCTCTTCACAACAGCCTATGCTGTCGTCGCTCGAAAATCGCATGCATGTCGTTGGGCCCTAAAATTTCGTATTTGCAGGAAGCGACCGTCAGTTGACGTAGGCAGTTTCATAACCTTAGCTCGCTCTGTCTCTGCGCTCGCACAGTTTGTGAACCCCGCTGTGGCGCACAGATAACAAAAGATGGGAACGTGCTGCGGACAGATAGGAAGAACAACAATATGGCACATGTCAACGGGAAAAGGGGAGGGAGCGAGCGCCGAGGTGGGTTGGCCTAATAGTTAAAAACGGAAGGGATCCAACGGGCAAGGAGGCGCCAAGTGTCGGTTATCGGGACTGCAGCAGATGAATGTAGCGGATGCGTTTATTACGCAGAGAAAAATAAATTCAAATTTTGAAGACTGAAGCTGTGGGGTGTGTTTAATTATTGTGTGTGTGCATTCATTACACGAGTAAATACTGTATTACTAGGCTTGGCGAATAATGATTCGATTCGAATTACTTCATGGAAAGATGTATTCACAGTATTGAATGCCTCCACTCAAGTGAAACTACCTTTACAAGAACTTTACAGGTCTATATTAATGTGATCGCATTAATCAATAGCTCATTTCGCAAAAATTCAGCGTCGATGTTGTTAGTTGTCAGCGCAAAATTATCATCTTGTGCGTCACCTAAACATTGAGAAATATGCGAATAAAAGTTTGACTTTAGTGAGGATCGAACCCAGGTCCCTTGCAGGGGAAGCACTGTCCTTCCACACGGGCACGTGTCTGCTTGGAAATACAGTGAAAGTATTTTCATGCTTTAGAAACACACCTGTCTCGCATACATGCTTCACAATACAACATGTAATATCGCAGTAATAATGCGTGGTATAAGCATACATTGCCTGCGGGCGTCAGAACATGTGATTATCATAATGATTTCATTGTTTAAAGCTGACCGCTCACTACAAAAGGCACACATGTTTTTGCAACTATTCTGTTAGGCCACTTTAGGTGCATGGCAAGTCGGAAAAAAGTTTACCGCATAATTACCCATGATTCAAAGCATGCCACCCATTACATAGAACACAGCCATATGCGAAAGCTTCACTTTCAAATTTATCGATTACATAGTAGTAATCTACAATTTAAACTTCCCGAGTACCACGATACAATAAAAAATATGCCCTTGGTGATTCAAGTAGTACAATGTCACCCAACCCACCTTAAGTAGTTGGTACATTTTAGACCATACCTACACATCAGGCACACAAGAGAAGCAGGGAAGTGCAGGTAAGCCAACCTTGTACTCTGCCTCTTCAGTGGTCCAAGGGTCTCTGCAGAGTGGCGATGTCTTGCCCAGCACAGCACAGCACAAGGACTCACCCACAGTGAAATGTACTTCCACGTCAGCACTCTGCGATCCGCAAAGGCACATTAATGTTATTTACAACCACACGTACGCTGCAATAAACATATTGGCAACTGAATCTCTACTTCAGCCATGTGTTTAGCCTTTTGAGGGTTTCACCAAATGTGACCTGCCAGGATCAATGTTTTTTTATTCCAGTTTTAAATCCTTCCATAGAATCTATTTCAGAAAAAAAAGCATACTGTAATTTTTTTCAGGGTGGCCATAAAGTGGAAAAAATGCCATTGCTACTATTGCATGAACATGGTTTATTCATAAGCAATAGCAAGATAAATTCTAAAAAAAACCCTTTATGACTTATCCCAAATTATCTGTTGCAATAAACATTTCTATACTGTACATACTGTGGGGTCTCAACGTGGTCGAGCGACGCACTCTTGGAGTGAACGAACACCGCAGATGCGGTCGAAGCCAACCAAATCAAACACATATTTATTTAACTATTTTTTGATAGGTGATATCATCAGCTGAATCATTTAACATCAACTGTGATACATACCCTAAACAACCTTACACATTATTAAACAACATTCAACAACATAACGCACAATAACACAGCCAAGGCGGCATCGCCAACGTTTGACTTACCACAAGGTCCTACCGCAGACAACCCCCGGTGTCGACTACAGCAGACCCATGCTAGAGGCAACCGTTCGCGCCAACTGCCACCAGCCGAAGAGACTCACTCACTCAACTCTCTTGCCCGCCACCAAGGCTTGCCTTCCACCAGGAGTCACCACCGGCACTACCGATTTGCCAACCATGATGATAATAGTGGTGATCATCGCTCACGAACACAACCCCACCTATCGCTCAATAGTTGTCATCCCTAAAACATGGCTTCTGTGCGAATCACGTGCGGCACGCGGCGCAAACAACTTTACAGGAAGTGTCAGCACCCCCACAAGACATACATGAATAAGTGCACAAAGTGGCGTGAAGTGGGAAAAAGAAAAGTCACCTGGGATCAAATCAGCATCGTCTTGCTGCGCACTTATAAACTGTTCCTAGCTCATCAACATCTGAGCCTGAACTTCTACAATGAACTTCTTGAACAAGTAACTCCTTCGAGGATGGACCAACATCTAACAATTCAGAATCTCATTCAGCAGTCGAGCGGCATTTTACTGGAGTTATCCACTAGGTGTAGATTGTAGATGAAAAACTACACACTTTTATAGTGCAGTTGAATTGTGCAGGCGAGTGCACTGAAGAAAGCCATATGGTTTCGCGTGTGTCCGGAAAGTGAAAAACAAGCCAGAAACCTATAATAATCTTTCATCTTATTTACAATGAGACAGACATGGTTTTTGCAAGTCCGTAAAACAGGACACAGAACCACAGTGGCATTGTTTGTGTCCGTCAGCTCCTGCACTTGACCACGTTCTAGAGAGCAACAAATGAGAGAGTAAACAAATCAGTCACCTTTTGAAAGACTGTAAACAAGAAAGCCACCAAATTTGCGAGCGCGACAAGTAGGAACAATTCAAAGGGCAAAGCTGAAACTAGCCAGTGCACTGCTGTAGTGAATAAAAATATCAGCACAGGAAAAAAATTCCATGTATTTCTCACAATGTGGCACCCCATGCCACGTAGGACAAATTATCGTAAAAGGCACTCCTTCTAAACATGTAAAAGGCACTCCTTCTACACCTTCAACCAACTTGATGGTGTTAGCAGAGGATGTTTATGTATACCACTGACCATGAAAAAGTTAAATATAACCCTCTAAACTGCTTCTATATACGAAATTACGAAGTAACAAATGCCTAACACTGTCCAGATAACAAGAGATAGCTTACATGTTTATGTGAATTATCTAAGATACTAATTTCCTTCTAACTAAGCGATAACGATACTGTGCAAACACACCAATCACACTTCCGAAGAATTATGTGAGCTTCCAAACTCATGGTGATGACTATTTAGTACCTTGCACGAAGGAAAGTTTGGTGAACCTCTGCATTTTAAACAATTTAAGCCCAAATTGCTTCCCTGCTTGTGGTTCAGATTACTTGAATGCTCTCAAGCACTTCAGAGAACAAGAACTTCAGAGAACACTGAAGTGCTTGTCTTCCAAAATTGATTTTTGTTTTTCTTTTGTTTGTTTTTTCTGAGGGTACATGGTAGGCTACAGCCAAATGAAGTTGTTGTCAGTCAGCACTCTGCCTTGTTGTTTTTAATCTGCAACCTGTCCTAGTGCTATTTTCAAGTCCACATAAGCAAAATTTTTTTTTAAATAGGTGGTGGAAACGACTACAGTTGAACTCTGCTACAACGAACGCCACTTCAACGACATTTCTGCTACAACAAAAAAATTCACGATTCCCCGTCAGCAGTTCATAGGAGTCAATGCATAAATATTGTCACTACAGCGAACACTTTTTCTTCGATCTTCCCGCTGCAACAAAACTTTACGATGTAATTCCAGGCTCAGATACTTATTGCTATGAGTAAAACCAATCTTTAACATTTCTATGCATTTTCAGAGCCTGAATATGCGTCAACGAAGTCTAAAATACGCGTTGGCGCCACCAGAAACTGCCGCTCTACCATCATTGTTCAGAAGCATGGGCGCCGCCATTGCTCGATAGCGATGGCAATGAGACTGCCCTGGTTTTACCACTAGTTTACTTTGAGCCGCAGACAATCCGAAGATAAAGCTCAGTTCATGGTTTTTTTTCACGCAGTTACTGGGTGCAACCGCGGAATGATGCCTTTTCCAATTCCGGTGCTTATCATTATGTTTGCGCTTGGCCAGTGTGGTAACTAATCAGAGCGGCTGTTCATCCACATTATCAACAAAATCAGCTGGCTGCGAGAGATGGATGATAAAAATGGCATAGAATATTGCAAAAATCACCTCTCCACGATACCCTGCCTTAATCGCGGCGTTGTCGGATACTTTTGACGGCGGACAGCTGCTGGTGTTAACGTGTTAATGCAACTGTTTGGTTCGTTCACAAAGGCGGTTTTGGGCGTGTTTCAGCATGCTTTTCACCATGGTCTCGCGAAGCATGAATGAGAATGACGTCGTGATGGTGCTGGGAAAGAAGGGGAAGCAGGGGGCATTTTTTGTATTTTAAGAATAAACGTTCTTTTGTTTTGCTAGCTCAGATCAGCTATATTTTTTTCGATTTCACTACAACAAAATTTTCGCTTCAACGAAATTTTTTTCGTGCCCCGTCAGTTTCATTGTAATGGGGTTCGACTGTAACATATAGAGCACTCAGTCTATGGCTGAGAATGAGAGCCGACACTGTAAGTCTCCAGCATATAGCAGTTTATTGAAGGGCATGGGTCGTGCTGCAAAGGTTGAGGTATAGCTTAACGCCACTCTGGAGACCGTACTCCAGGAACTTGAACTCCTGGATTTGATTTGATTTGTGGGGTTTAACGTCCCAAAACCACTATTTGATTATGGGAGACGCCATAGTGGAGGGCTCTGGAAATTTTGACCACCTTAGGTTCTTTAATGTGCACCCAAAGCTGAGTACACGGGCCTACAACATTTACGCCTCCATCGGAAATGCAGCCGCCACAGCCGGGATTTGATCCCGCGACCTGCGGGTCAGCAGCCGAGTACCTTAGCCACTAGACCACTGTGGCGGGGCATTGAACTCTTGTATTGAGACATTGTTGAGTTCCCAGCCTGCCTTGAACTGCACAGGCCATCCATGCCTTAATACACTAGTGGTGGAGTGGTGGTAACAGTGGGTCAAACAGGATTGATTGATTTGTGGGGTTTAACGTCCCAAAACCACCATTTGATTATGAGAGACGCCGTAGTGGAGGGCTCCGGAAATTTTGACCACCTGGGGTTCTTTAACGTGCACCCAAATCTGAGTACACGGGCCTACAACATTTCCGCCTCCATCGGAAATGCAGCCGCCGCAGCCGAAATCGAACCCGCGACCTGCGGGTCAGCAGCCGAGTACCTTAGCCACTAGACCACCGCGGCGGGGCAGTGGGTCAAACAGGATTGCAGGCAAAACTTGGTGAAGGTGATGCCAGTTGTGCATTAACAAAATGTGTGTTGGGATGTCGTGCTCTTAGGATATTCCATGGCTGTTCGGTTTTTCTTGTATGGGGTATGAAGAAGAAAACAACGCCCTCGAAACACATGGACACAGTAGATGCACTCAAGCAAACTAACATGTGAACATTTATTAACCTGCTTTTACAGACTACGATATTGCCAGCCGAGCCAAACAGACCACTAGTGACATGTTAAACAGCCTTATACAATAAACCAACACAACACACAAACATAGCAACAGCAAGGTACTGTGCATGCAGTGTCATTGACGTTCGACTCTCCGCGAGACATCCACGAAAAACGACCCATGATCCTGTTTTCCAGGAGTCGACCATAGGAGATGTCCGTCACTGCATTACGCCAATCCCAAAAAGAGGCTCCCTGCTATTCTGCGTGCAGCGGCCTAGCTTCTCCACCACCAGTAGAGTGATGCAGCTGCTTCTCCATGCCACCTCTACCCCGTGCAACCACAGTGCCTTGTCTCTCTTAGCGGCTGTTAAACCTATACGCCGCTGATCCATGAGACGTGTGCGAACGATGATGTGTAAATAACTTTACAGGGGGTGAAGGCACCCTCACACCTTTGTCCCCATTTTATGCCATGGCCATTTTCACTGGGCATATCAGTAATATAATTACTGCCATGTGACAGTTATAAAAGTACAGTGCCTGCAGCAGCTCCAAAAGATTCATCTGGGGAAATCTACATTCAACAAGTAACAGTACCGCTTCCTAACTGCTGGCTTGAATGCTGTGACAAGAGTGAAGCTCACCTTCCCGCTACCATGCTTGCACAAATGTTGGTGCTGGTGCCCTTGCCCTTTCCCTTCTAGCTCATGCTGTCAAGCTCGCAGTGCACCGTGGCAATGATAGCAACAAGTACTTTCGGCCACCTGCATTGGATGCCATGGTAGTGCACAACTCCGTATGTCGTCGGTGTATTTATTTATAACTTGATGTGCTGAGCTTTTAAATGCATGAAGTTCATTGAAGCATGACAGGGCAATGCTGCTCGGTTCGAACAGTCCAAAACTTTCCATTCAATAATTGTCTTTTACACTGTCAAGTGTGAACCAATTACTTGCTTATGAGCCTATGAACCAATTATTTGCTTAATGTCTGAGCTCTTGCTGTTTTTGTAAGCCCAGTTCACATACACACTAGATATACAGTCTTCAATACTGTAGCAAAGCCGCCTGGATGCAAAAACGTACGTTACAGCCCTGGCTCACCTCGACCAGGCCACACTTGAGCAGCCCAGTGAGCACCTGGTGCACGTGTGGGAAGTCCGGCTGTCCCAGGCAGAGCAGGCCCAGGGTGCGAGCCGCCTCTTCCCGGCACTGAAAAGGCATCACGCAACTGCATGCCATTTTCTGCAGCAGGTGACGAATTAACCATATGGGCACTCCACAATGTGCCAACTAAACCATTTAGCTAGTCAGTCAACCGAAAAATTTCCATACTGTCAGAAATACATGCATGCAAACACTACGCTAAATTATGCCGGACGTGCACAAAAACGGACGTGCACAAAAGAATCACATTTCAAAACAAAATAAAAAATGGCTGTCCTGAAAGAAAATAAATGGCTTACTGCTATGTGAGATATAATTATACCCAAAGGAACTGACTGCAGGGTACAAGCACAATAATCAGTGGATGGCCATATTCTACTTCATTTAAAAGTGGGAGACTTTCCTGCTATTCTCAGTGTTTTAATTTACTTTGGCATACTAATGCACTGTCTGGGCACATTCTCACACTTTACACTGCTACAAACAAGGGAAGAGAGCATGAAAGACTGAAACCATGAACTTAGCTCACACTAGTGCAGTATAGTAAAGTATCGATGATACAAATTTCAAGGGAGCATGCAAAATATTCGTATTATCCCGAAATCGTATGAACCAAAAGCAAGGTAAAGCTGATCATGAAGATGAACAAAAACTTTATTGGGGTCAACTACTTCTTGCTGAAAAAAGTCCACGAGGTTCTTTTGAACTTTGCAGTTTTCACCACCTCTCAATAAAGTGCCTTAGTTTCCTCACTCATGCTGCTGGCACTATAAGGCGCGTTTACACTCGGCATCGAAGGGAGCGAGAACGGCAAAACTTACTGAAAACTCACTTGCTTCGCCGCTTAAGACGGCAGGAAAAATGTGCCGCAAAGTCGATACGAATAAAATCAGTTCAAGAGAATTCACACACAAGAATTCAAGCAAAAACGCCACAGTGGCCGCAAAACCACGTACGTGCCCGTTGAACATTCGTTTTGGCCCTCGTATACATGCCACCGCCGCCGTCTTTGCCACTTGAGAGTTTATTCCTGAGCATTTAAATCCCTACAGAGTTTTATTTATGCACAAATGACTGAAAAAAAAAAAAAAACAGTTTACACTTTGGCATACATTGTTTCGGGAGATACGTCAGGAGAAATGAAACAAACAGATGCAGCGGCAGCTACAGATTCAGCCGGCAGTGCAAAAGAGAGACACGTTTAGGGCATGTTGACTCCCTCCTGCTGCACCTTCTTCTACTTCTTGTGTTCACAGCAATCGTAATTCAAACCAGGCTCTTGATGAAGGCGTCTTTTTCAAGGCGGTGAGCTTCATTGTGCGTAGCGGGTAGTTTGCGTTTGCGCCGACGCACCCGTCGACGCATTGGCCGCCATTTTAAATATACAGCTCATTGCATGGTAGTTAACATCATGTGGTTTGAGAGCCAGCACAGCCGGTGTAGCCAAAGCCAAAGCAGAAAGGTGATCTACTATCGCGTGGCAGCAAAATTGGTCTCAGATCGATTTTTTCATGTCGGCCTCGCAACATCGTTTTCCGGCCACTTTTCCGGCGGTGAAGCGAAGGAAGTTACAGTGAGTTTGGCCGAATCACACTTAGGCCCCATCGCACTTGGCCCTTTGAGGCCAAGTGTGATGGGGCCTTTCTCCCACAGACAAGGCGCGTTGCGCCACTCGCGTGCAGCACTCAATCGCATGTTCGTATCATCCACGGTTGCTGGCAAAATCATTTGTATAACACTGAGTCGCAGTGTATTTTGTATGATGTAGTCCTACCGAAGCAACCTTAAAATTCGTATCATCGCGAAATTCGCATCAACCGTCATCATATCATCGTGATTTTACTGGTACATATACCAAGGAAACAGACAAAAAGGAAAAAGTAGGTGCTAAGCTTCCAACTGTTTATTCAATGCCTTTCACACCCATCTTGTACAAGCACGAAATACACTCGAACTTCATTTTCACAAACTTGCATCTTACATAAAAATGAATTCGCTATATCTGAAAATTCAATAAAGGTCTATTCTTAGCACTAAATCTATTGCGAGACTATTTTTCATTTGCTTCATTATAACCGTCATTTCGTTATATCCCAGATTCGTTATATTGAAGTTTGAGCGTACACAACTCAACTTTCATGTGATCTCACTGTAAGAAATCTCGTTCCCGATTTTGTCAAAATAACTGATTGTGCACTCACACAAAGATTCACCTTTTTTCTATAGCTTTGGCTTCTTTTATTTCACCTGTGAGCTCATTCCTAAACCCGAAGATAACAATACAGCTATACAGATTAGGGAAGTGCCCACAATCCTTGCGGGGGGCTGCCAGAAACCGTCTCGATTAAAGTTAATTTCTTGCATTTAGTTTAAAAATTTCTGTAGGACTGCAAAAAATTTTTAAACAAACGGATATCACAACTGTGCTGTACCCACAACTTTTGAAATGATCCCTGCATTACACTGCACCTTGAATCTCTGCAAACATAATGAATTTATATCTTTCTTTACCTCACTAATAGGAATCAGTAGACAGTGAGCAATGCTTCTGAAAGCACAAATAAAACATTTGCAGCTCATCTTAACAATGCGCACCTGCTTGAAAAAGATAAGGAAGAAGATCCCCTTGGTACGAGCAAGCGCTCAATGTGCAACAGATTGCTGTGCCTGCATTAACTCGTAGAACAAGAGGAATTCTCTTTGGCGCAAGCTGAGGTGGCTACACGTGGTTCTGCCTGTGTTACGCCAAGCGATGACGACAGCATACGACCCCTCAAGTACTCCGCACTTGAAAGACAGAGGAGGCAAAGGTAAACAACTGCGTGCAACTTCCCAATAGTTTTCAAAAAGTGCTTGCTATTTTATTTGATTCGCACTGGAATTCTCGCTATTACAAGTACTTCCCAAAGACAAACACAATCAACGTCTGATCGACAGTAGCGCCTTTAGATTTCTAATATGCTTCACTCCATTGCACTCTCGCATTGCAGCAAAGCTGCCTTTCTAGCTCTGCTGTGGTAGCAAATGTATTAACTATCAAATATATTAACTGAAGCAAACACTGCTTCCAACATAGAAATGCACTGCACCATCAAAGTGGCCCCTTCTTATTTATTATTTTTCACTGCATCCCAATCATATTAAAGGCACAGCTGCTTTAGGGCTATACTACACCTGTAAAGAGATTTGTGTTGCAGAACTTAATAAAGGAACAAGGCAACCTAGAAAAGCGACAAAACAAGGACAGAAAAGAGCGCTTCTGATTCCAGAGTTGCCACTCTGGAATCAGAATGCAATGGCTACAACTAAACGTGTGCGAATATTCGAATGCTTCAAATATTTGAACGAATAGTAGGGTATTCGAATTCACTTCGATATAAAATTTAAATTATTGAAATTTTCGAAGTATTCGCAAGGAACGAATAGATGCATGTTATTTCAACTGTACCACCTGTACAAGTGGTTTCACTGCAGTGTAGAGGTGCTGAACCGCAAAAGACTAATCCAGGAGAAATCCACTCAGCCGCAAGGTCCCCTTTCAAATTTAAATGGGCCCTGCAAAATTTTTTGAGCGTTGTCAGAAAACGTTGCCGATAAGTAGTCATGTGTACCGGGGACATGCAAGCCAGAATCTATAGCGCAGCACACGGCATGCGATTGACAAGAAATTCTTAATGTCAACTAAAATTTGCTCTCTTTTCTCGGCAAATGACTCCAAGCACGTGACGTATTTTCTTTTCCTGGGCCATACCTCCCTGCTTAGATTCCAGCGCTTTCCTCAGGTTGAGAAGAAAGAATGCACTAGCAGCGCGGGAGAAATATTTGCAACTGCGCGTACTGGACGGATTCGAAAATTATGGGTGGCAGTGAATTCATGAGGCAACACATAAGCTTCTTCAGTGAATTTATTCTATGGCTACTTGAAAAAGTGTTGCACGACACCTTTAAATAAAATATTATTCTCAAATCAATTCATTTTATTAAGCTTAAGAGCTAGTTACGATGACTTACATGCTCAAAGTATAATACATTTTAAAATGTTCCATATTTTAAGGGTTATGTCTCGCACCCTGCTAAAAGTCTAATCCTGCTACTACTCAAAGTTCTTTCAACTTCCTTCTAACAAAAAAAAAAAAAAAAGAAAATGGCATTTGCATAGAGGCCCTATTATAATTTTCTAAATATATTGCGCCGGTTAGTTAGGTCATGATAAATGTGCTCATTCTTCTTTATATGTATTAAATACTATTCGAACTCAATTCAAAATTATTCAGACAGAATCACTATTCGCTTTAAATTCGCTTCAAACCTAAAATTCACTATTCGCACAAGCTTAGGGACAACGCTTGAAGAGATGAAATCGGAATGTATATACCGTAAAAGGCCACACAAGTGCCTCATCTATGGAGATAATCTGACCAGATTTGGCAGGGGGGGGGGGGGGGGAGCTTGTTTGGTCTCGGACCAGTCATTGGTGCTTATTTCAAATTTGCCGAAAAATGGAGGGGGCCGCTCGCTCAGTGTTTTATGGCAAGCACTTTTTACACAGAATGAAATGGAAATGGAATTGCATCTTTTCTAGAAATAGAGCACATTTTCGTCTATACTGCTGTTTTTCAAACTTCAAACATTATTAAGCGACAGCCTTGAATTTAACAATAAAAATGCATATTTAAAATGGCTTAGCTGATTACAAACATGCTACATTTCTAAGCAGAGCACCTATTACGATTCGGTTCTTTTGTAGACTGTGTTGCTCCGAAGTTCTCTATTCTTTGTGTAACCGTCACTCTATGCCATTGCATTGGTATTTGTTGTGCGGAACTAAGGCATTGGAATAACTCCTCCCCCCCCCCCCCCCCCCCAATGCCTCATGATTTTTTCCCCTTGGCGGCACTCCAACCGCCTGCTGTCTACCTCTCTCCACCTATCACTTTGTTTTTACTTTTGTTGCTGTACTGGCCATGAAAATCTGCTCATTAAGCAAATAATATAGTTAGGGGAAGAACTGCTCCATGAGAATTAGTAGGGTCGTTGTACTGGACGATATATACCACTAAGCTACTGTCCCTCGACCTTGGTAACCTATTTTGCATTTAGGGGGCATTCATTCTTAACCCAATGAAATTATCAAGATGCCTTTCCTTTTGAGGAATTGCAGGAATGGAATTGAACTGCCCAGCCATTTCCGGAGTGAAAATGGGCAAAGTTTTTCATTGCAAGCAATTGAAATAAATGAAATTACGGCAAGTTATAATTTTCTGGAGGGGAGTTGGAATTGAATGGAGGCACCGATTCTGCAACACTGGACTGACTCTCGAAAGCGCTGGTTAGAGGCTACAAGGTAAAGATGGAGCCTTTAATTAATGTCGTTTTAGATCTAAAGGTCAAAGATTTTTCAGCATCCAAAATTTACGATGTTTTTATACATCAACAACTACAGGGCAGAAGATAACCAACTATCATTTCGAAGAGAGCACTTATCCTTGTCCACCAAATTATTTGGGCCTCCACAGATGTTGAGGAGGGGTGATTGATTACCGTATTTACTCGCGTAATCCTCACACTCGCATAATTCTCGCACCCCCCACATCGTCCAACAAAAATGTGATTTCTGTTTTTCCTCGAGTGATTATTGCAACCATAAAACTGCCGCAATAATGTCGTCTGCTTGTTACAACCACTGTTGATGATAGCGTGCGCCGTCTGGTGCCATCTCTTAAGCATCAAGCTTAACTATTATTGCACAAAAATCCAAGCCAAGCCAAAGGGGCAAGTGTGCGTTGCGGCGTGTTTTATACCTTGTGTCGGTAATCTTGCCACGTTATGACGCGATACTGATGCTTCACGGCTGATTTCAAGTCGAAAGTGATAGATCATACACTAAACAACGGCAATAAGGCCGCCGGAAGGCCTTTCTGAGTCTACGAGTTTTCTGTTCACTACTGGAGACAGCAGCTGAAAGCCACCAAGATTAGTTGGGCCTGCCATGTGCGTACAAAAGTGGGATCGATGATAAACTTTATTTCTTCAGAAGGAAACTGCGGACTATTCTGTTAAATAGCCATCAGCCCAATACTAACGTCCTACGCTTACCATTTGAGTGCTTCCATTGAGCGAGGAACGCTACCGCTACGCCCACAACGCCCACAAGCTTTGTGTATGGTGCATCACGCATTCCCGACTATTTGCTCGCACTTTTTGTGTCTCAAATAAATCTTGCCTTGTGTTGATTGATTGATTAATATGTGGGGTTTAACGTCCCAAAACCACTATATGATTATGAGAGACGCCTTGCCTTGTGTTGAACCTGTGCTTTTATCGTTAAGGTAAGTTTTAATTAGTACTTTTCAAAGCTTGCTGTTAGTTGCTGGTGTGAGAATCCCGATTTGCGGCCACTTCGTTTTCTTTTTCTCTCTGTACGTCTTCGTGGAAAGTTTTCCCCACGTAATTCTCACACCCCCTAACTTTGCATCCGTTTTCCGCCAAAAAAAGTGCGAGAATTATGCGAGTAAATACGGTAATATGTGGGGCCTAACGTACCAAAACCACCATATGATTATGAGAGATGCCGTAGAGGAGGGTCCAGAAATTTGTTAAAAAGGGGTGAGATGGAGAAAAAAAATAGTTTCCCTCTCACATGTAATGTGCTGTCAACACCACATTGGTTCCAGGAAATCGTGTAAATACAATCCGGGCTCTGCATTGCCTCATATACAACAACTAGGAAACACCATTTCTAAGACACTTCACCAACCTAGCCAAAAGAAATACTTTCATCTTCCCATCACATAACAATGTGCTTAGGAATCTCTGCAACCTTTTTCAAGAAAAAAAAAAAAAAACTTCACTTCAAAGTATTCTAAAAATATTCGATTTTATTGGCATTGAAACTTTAATATTTTAATTCGCCTTGCTCCCAAAATTTTGCTATTTGCACAGCTCTACACAAAAGCTTATACACTCATGCCCAGACAAACATATCCATCAGTAGGGGTATACGTGAGAGATTCAGGCATGTGATTTCCTAGTGAAAGCTAATCGATGGTTGGCTCATGCATGCACTACCACTATTATCAATATGCCAGGCCTAAACCAATAACGCACCTAGTTCAATGCTGCGCCAGTAAAAAACTACGCATTCATTGGATTTTGGCATGCGCTTACACTCTTGCCAACGCAGAGGTAAATTAGATGGTGAGCCTTCAGTTAGCTATCTCTTGTGTTCCAATTATCTCTGGACAACACAACGACCTCTCTGACTTGTGTAGAAGTGGCCGAAGCTAAATGGCCTCTTGTCTGCGCTCAAGCTAACAAGTTAAGTGTAATATCAAAGCAAATGCCATTAGAATAAACATTTACTTAGCCAGACTTTGATAATGTTCCATAGCAGTATTCCAAGTCTATTTACAAGCGAGCACCATTCACCATGACCCGCCAGCACTCGACAGCTTCAGATGGTCGTTTTCATTTAAGGTCGCCTGTTCTTTCTCCATCAATGATAGCATGGCACAGCAGCCTACCCCATCAGCTGTTGTACAAAGCACCCTGACATTCTGTACATAAGCCCATTTCCTCAAGGTAAGAAAAGATGTAAACTGTACAGGGATGAACTTATCCATTTTTGGTAGCCCAATAATAAATGCAGATTGCAATGGGACTGCAGCAGTGTTCTGAAGGTTCTGACGGTTAGACAAAACATAACGTGCTGATGCCTTAAATCAGGGGGAGAAAATTACTCGATTAATTTGTGGGGTTAACGTCCCAAAACCACCATATGATTATGAGAGACGCTGTAGTGGAGGGCTCCGGAAATTTCGACCACCTGGTGTGCACCCAAATCTGAGCACACGGGCCTACAACATTTCCGCCTCCATCGGAAAAGTAGCCGCCGCAGCCGGGAGGGAGAAAATTACTCCCAATAAAGGCAAACAAATTCAAGGTGCTAGTGTCAAAACCACATTGAACACTTCATCAGAGACTAGAACAAAAGTTTTATATAAATCTCCTGCAGTTTAGAAAAACAGCAAAACTGAATGGGCCTCATGTGCAAATACATCAAGGAATGCATATCAAACTGTTGGCCTGGTTTTAATGCTCTAGCATCTGAGCATCACATTAATCTTCCCGATGTTATGTTCTTAACATTAGCCACAGATGCACATAAACACTTGCCGGCACGCATAATTGCAATTTCTTATAGTAGGAACTGCCTCTATAAGTGCGAGGCAATGTGCACGATCAATGTACATGAACTCAATTTACTCTGTGTAATGTTTAAACCTAATGCTGCATTTATCTGCTTGAATAAAGCAATTAGAATTTCAAAACTCACTTCCATAACACACAGCAAGTGCAAGCCTACAGGCAACCTATGGCAACGTTAATAATTAGTGTATTTGTTTCTATAACAAAACAGTACCTCGCATTTGTTAACATCACACACACCAGCACTTTCTGAGCAATAATTCACAATCCTGTTAGCAAGTATAGTAGACTCTCAGTAAACAAAAAATCTCTTAGATGAAATGGCTGTCTCTAATAAAACTGGCTATGCACCATTGTTTATCTCTAAGTAAACAAAACTCCTGTCAAACAGAGTGCACGTTCCCGGCCCCTCGAGGTTCTCTTCGATGATAGTGGCGCAGTCTAGCTAGATGCAGACATGGTAAATCTCACCTTGGAAGGTGCCTTCGCATTGTGTAGCAGGGAGGTCAGTGCGTACACCAGTGCTCCTTGCGTCGCTGGTGGCCCACCTTCCACTTGGCCAGGGGGCAATGGCAGTGCCAGGGCTGCGCCAAGCTGTCCCAGGGCCACACATGAGGGCAGCACCAGTGGCCAAGAGCAGCTCTGCTGGGCTTGCACTAAGTCACGCAGTAACGTGCATGACACCTTAAAAGCTGAAGCGCTTGAAAAAAAAAAGACTTACAAGTGTGCAAAGACAGTTTGATCCCTGCTGCATTCTAAAAGCGATGTTATCACTAGTGAACGCAAATAGCACTTTTTCGCACAAAAACAGGAGTTGCGGTCGCTGAGCTTTTTGAGATGCCAAGCGAACCCACGTGTTGCAAATAAAGGAGGAAGAAGGGGCGCCAGGCACAAGCCCGAGCCAGGGGCCCTGGCTCGCTCAGTTGTTCCATTGACCTTCGATGTAGCCGGACGATCGGGTCCGAGCCCCTTTCATTTTCCACACTTTGTTCTGGTGCTGAGATCCACCCGGTCGTCTGGACCTCAACTCTCGCCCATGGACCTCAAATCATCACCACGCGCTACTTCGTCCCAAAAGTCATCACGCAACACCTCTTATCGCTCAATGCCCTGCTGGAAGACTCGTCAACCCCTGTTAATAAGCTCGAAGATGTATTCACCCTCATCGTCACAAAGGATGCCAAACTCATAGACGTGAACAAGGAAATCCAGGCTGTGCTTCATTATGAGGAATTGGTAGCGGACCTGACTACAGCCAGCGAGTTCGAGGATAGAGTCATCTGTGCTAAAGCAAGAGTTCGTCACGCAGTCAAACCGTGCCCATGAACCGCACCCGTATTTGTTGCAGTCACATCCACCCAACTCTGTAAGCCTCTCGCCTACACTTCGCCACCCGCTGTGACGTCGTCTTCAATCAACATTTCGACCCATCTCGCCTCAACGTCAAAGCAGGCAGCAACTTCATCACCGATGAGCCTTTTGACCCTTCTTGTCTCGACATTGAAGCAGGCAGCAATTTCGTCTTCGATCAGCCTTTCAACTCCTCTCGCCTTGACGTCGCAACAGGCAGCAACTTCATTTTTGTCCGGCCTATCGACTCCACTCGCTTCGATGTCGGAGCAGGCCGCAACTTCGCCTTGGGCAGGCATCTCGACTCCTCTCGCATCGACGTCGCAACGAGCCACAACTTTGCCTTCGACCGGCTTCTCAACCGCTCTCGCATCCACATCGCTGGCCGTGATTTCGCCTTCGACCGGCCTCCTTAACCCTCTCGCCTCAACGTCAGAGCAGACCACGACTTTGCCTTCCACCGGTCTCAGAACTTCTCCCGCTTCAACGTCGAAGGAAGCGACGACTTCGCATTCCACTGGCCTCCCGACTTCAACGACAACTACAACTCCAACAAGTTTTGGGTACATGCCGAAAATCTATCGCTTTCCACGCGATACATGGCGCTTCAGTGCAAGGACTTATCACCAAGGTATGCCTTTAAGAGTTCGATCGTCAAGGCAAACCTCGAATGCACCGTGCACATAGACTACAAGGACCCGGCTTCTCACGGCCTGAACCACAGCTTGCAAAAGCAGTCCCACTTCCCAGGTCAAGAGAGCGAACGCATAAACTATCCGTCACACAGCACCATGAACTTCCAAGACATGGCTCGTGAACAACAACACGTGGAGCCCTACTTTTCGTCCTACATGCACCTAAAACCTGATCCTGGCGGTGGGGTCTCCAGTTCGTCTCCCCTTAAGCCCAAGAAAGTCGACTATCGAGAGTGCGAGTAGAAGTGCTGCTACGAGCCACACTCAACCTTCATGGACCCCATGACCGTCTACGACGCCACCGAACATCACAAGAAGATGGCACCTGACACCAGAGACCTGCGCTGGATGTACGAGTGCCACACCGCACTGCTCCAGTACTACGCCACGCGCCTCATGCAGGAAACCGGCGGAAACAAAGATTTTCGCGGAGTGCGGCACACCGTGATGAACCATTTCTCTAGAAACTCCTGCAAGCGATGTCTATGGAGATGACTCCGAAAACGCCGCCCATCATCAGACTCATGCGCCCAAAAACGTCATGACGCCGTGATGGACGCTTACAATCTGCTACCGGCCACAGAGCGCGTAGATAAACCCCAACTGCCTCTGAACACGGTCAAGATTCAGGCTGTTGGCAACGTCACTGCCCGAAAGAACTAAAATGCTTCAGCATCATCGTCCTCCTCTTCAAGCGAGGAAGAAAGTCATCGTCGATCTTGCAGTCTTCATGCAGCTCAGAAGCACCTGTGAGCCAGGCGCATGCTCAGGACCACCTGACACCTGAGGTGAACAAGCAGCACATAATTGCGCGAAAGAGACAGAAGCTACAGATGCAACACCAGGAGCAGATCATGAACATCCCTCGCAAGGGCACACAAAGTATCAGAAAACCTCGAGAGTTTATGAAAGCAGGCTTAGATCAGACTGCTCATACTACAAGCGGCGCAAGAAGAGAAAAAGCCACCACTATGACCCAAAAATGGCTAATAACGTGACCCCCAAGTATTCTGGACATCATAGCAAGATTGAATGACTTATCCTGCAAGACAAACCACCGCCTCCCCAAGCGTGACCGCGTCCCCAAAGCCCTCCATCGTCGTTGTCTAGCCCACTCACCCTTTCTATTGTTCGCATCTTGCTTGCCAATGTCCGCCTCAACTTCTGCCTCTGTGCACCTGAACTTCGCTGCAATTTGCCGGCTGCGGGAGGGTGTTGCAAATAAAGGAGGAAAAAGAGGCGGCGAGCACGAGCACGAGCCAGGGGCGCTGGCTCGCTCATTTGTTCCTTGACCTTCGACGTAACCAGACGATCGTGTCGGGGTCTCCTTCTTCGTTTCTCACACTACACTCGGCATACCGAGCGTGGCGTCTGAATTCTGTAGGCTTCAAAAATTTCCCTTGTCATATTGGCCAGGTGGGGCAGTGTGTCAAGTCTAGACTGAGGGAGCACCGAAATTCCCTTCGTGGTATTGCATTTCTGACACACTTGGCTATGCACTGCCGGGACTCTGGATGCACTCTAGATTTTTCGAGAATGAAGCTTCTTTTCCGCCAGCGCGAGCAGCTGGCAAAAGAAATTTGGAAGCCTACAGAATTTAAAAGGCCAACAAAAACTGCGACAGTGAACCATCAATCGCTTTCCTTGATAAAGAATTAACATTTTTAGACTACTGCTACTAACATTAGGGCAAGATGCCTCGTGTCTACACAGCAGTTATTTTAGTTTCTTTAGTTTTGTCGCCATTCAAGAGCATGGAAAAATAACTGTATATGAGTTGAGACGTGTATGAAACTGTCGCTCTGACACACCTGATATGGCACCCAAAAGGAGAAAGACGTAAACGTGGTTGTTGTGGGTTGGACCCTCGAGCTTTCCTCGTTGGCCTGCATGACTGTGCACTCTTTAAGGTGTTAGCAAGACCCGCTGTCGGTGAATAAATCTTCCCCGTAACATCTTTTGGTGGAAGGTGTGGAGTCTTCACACAACCCGGCTTTGGAACTCCAGAAGTACTTTGGTTTGGGCTAGTTGGTTCATAGTGCTCACATAGAAAGGGCAGCGCAAAAACTCGGGAAAAAAGAAGGAATGGGGAGGGATAAGATAGAGCGCGAGATTGTTGAGGCTTTCTTCATTCATGAAGCAGGTGACAAGTGCGTGAGCAGGCCTTCCATATACTTGTCCGACGCTGAAATTAGATATCTTAAAGACTTTCTTTGATTTTCCGTGTCATTTGCTTTTCATGACCTGAAGCATTTCACTCATCACGCTTGCCCGCGTTCCTTTGAAGATTTTATCGTTTGCAGTTTTTATTGCTGGTTAAAACCAGCCTCCATTTCTTGCTTCTAAACCTCCTCTCAATCACATTTCAGACACATATATATGCACAGGTGATGGCAATAAAATTTCAGTTGTTAGTCAGCGCTCTGTCTCTACTGTCCTTCTTTTTTCCCGAGTTTTTGCGCTGCCTTTTTATGTGAGCTCTGGAACTCCGCAGTGGACGCCAGCTTTGTCCAGCCACGATGCCTTAAACCAGGCACTCAGGCCTCGCCATCCGCATTGGCTCCATCACCTGTAATTCCCCCCCCCCCCCTTCTTAACCCTGGCACGTTTTCTGGGACGGACAGCACGGACGTTGAAAAATGGCTCGCATTATTTGAGCGCGTCAGAAAGCACTTCAGGTAGGACGAGATGCTTATGCTGGCAAATATTTTATTCTACCTATGGGGCACGGCATGGCCTGGTATGAGACGCATGAATAAGAATTAACCCCCTAGAACACATGCAAGCAAAAGCTTGGCGACATGTTCCGTCGGTCAGTTGCTGGACAGATGGCAGCCAGGCAGGAACTCGTGTCACGTGTTCAATCATCGACAGAGTCGTATGTCACATACGTCCAAGACATACTGGCAAAGACATGTCCAAGGCGGCCAAGACCAGCAACGTGTTGAAAGGCATTGTTGACGATGCTTTCAGCATACTAATGTGTGAAAACTGTACTACTGTCGACTCCATTATATCTGAATGCCAACGATTTGAACAGGCTAAAAGCAGGCAAATAGCCCACCACATCTGGAGACTACTAAACACCGCTGTGACTTCATCTTACGAGGATTCTGCAACGCCCCGTTCACTTGCACCGCCTGCCAATATCGCAAAGATCGTTCGCCAGGAGCTGGCGGCAACGGCGCCCGCTTTCTATCAGCCCCCTGCGCAAGACAACTGGGTAACAGTTTCGTTATTCAAGCCGTTGTACGTTAGGAGTTTGCTAGCCTGGGCGTCCAGGTTCCCCAGGCCGCCAGACACATGCTGCAGCCCAAGAGCACTCCTGTCCACAAAGCTGACCACTACTCCGCTCCCCTTGTCGCTGCAGGAGCTTCGACTTCTCGGTTTCCACCACACTACCCAAATCCATCTGAGTGGCGCACGCACGATGATCGACCCATCTGCTTTGCTTGCTCTCGAGTTGAGCGCATCTCCCACCATTGCCCATGAGGTGGTATTTCCGGCCAAGCTTTCGTAATGTCGACCACTGTCAGGACCGTGGACAGTATTCGCAACCCGCTCTTCCAGATGACCATCTTTAGGACTCTTCACCTCGCCGTTCATCTCCA